GTAAGTCTATATAAGAAACCTAAACCATGGATTATCATTATATTTTTATTGGATTAAGATATATCCTAATATGCTAAAATGGGTTCTTTTTTTCTTTTCTTTTTCAAAATTAAGAGTAAATTGGGTGCAAAGATCATTGGTGGAGCTGCTAAACATTGATGAAATAATTTTTTTTTTAATAAAAAAAAAAAGACCAAAGAAAAACCCATTTTAAAAAAAATTGGGTTCTATGGGATTCGAACCCATGCACTCTTCTTTCAACTCTACCCGCAAAAAACTCAAGCAAACTAGCTTATTTATTTTTTCTTCCTTACTAATTATATATATTTATTTTGTTTGATATATCTATCTAAAAATACAAACTCACAGCTTAAAGTGTGAAGGAAACAATTGCGTTTTAGAGTGTATTTGTCCCCTCTCCCTGCTTCTTCTCCTTCTTGAGTTTTATTTTTCTTCTTTCAAGATTTGGTTTTCCCAATTCAATTTTACAAAGAAAAGAAGAGATCAAAGGCGGCTCACTTCACCCAATTCAAATTTTCCCTTTTTTCGTTGTAACACCGAAGAAAATTAGGAGAATCAAAGGAGAGTTTATAAGGATATTCCCTTTTTCGCCCAATTCAATTTTTCTCTTTTTCCCTTCTTGTAACCATGGTTGAATCAATTTGTTTTTGTAATTTCATCTTTGATGTGAACGTGCAATACATACATTAATATTTAACATGTGATCCAAATATTAAATCTATAACATTGAAGCCGAAAATGTCAATATTTGTATTTAGATTGAATTTCATTTGTATTCTTTCATCATTAAAGCCGAAAATGGTACATAATATTTACATTTATAAAATTATTAATGATTTTGTATTTTTTACAATTTTTGGGCCTTTTCGAGTTTTTAAAAATAAAAATTAACGGAGACCATATTATATTTTTTTTAGCATATTTTTGTCACAAAATATCACATTTAATTTGACTCAAATAATTTGTCACAATACCTCCATTATAACATTTATAAATGATATTTTTTTTATTTTTTTGTTGGTAATGATAAATAATTCTTTTGTGACAAATTAGTTTGTAATTATAGCATGTATTATTAAATATAGTGACTAAAGTTTTTGATGACAAATATATTTGCCACGATAGACAATTTATCTCGGTGCATAAATTTTGACTCAAACATTTTGTCATTAATACCTCTATTTCAGCATATATTATGACAATTTTTTTTTTTTTTTGTAATAATAAATAAATTCTTTTGTGACAAAATAATTTGTAGCTACAGCATGTATAACTAAATATAGTGACTAAAATATTTTATGAAAAAATATGTTTGCCACAATAAACAATTTACCTAGGTGCCAAAATTTTGTGATGAAATATTATGATTAAAATGTTTTTCTTCACTACATTTATTATGAGTCTCTTTATTGTGATAAAATATTATGACAATATATTTTTTAGTCACTGTATATTCTCTTTGTCATGCTTAATGTGATGTTTCTTTATTTTTTTCATAATAACTATATTACTCATGACAAAATAACATTTGATAAAATTAATTTTGTCACAATGTAATATATTTCTTATAGTGTATAAGACATAAATCTGAAGCCTTTGATAAATTCAAAGAATTCAGGAGTGAAGTACATAATATGTTGGGCAAGAGTATTAAAGCTCTTTGGTTGGATCGAGGAGGTGAACACTTGAGCTCCAGGTTTTCTGAATATCAGAAGGAGTGTGGGATAGTTTCACAACTCACCCCTCCGTATACACCCCAACATAATGGTGTGTTTGAAAGGAGAAATAGGGCTTTACTTGATATGATTAGGTCCATAATGAGTTTTGGTGATTTACTCGCATCATTCTGGGGTTATGCCTTAGAGACTGTGACTCGCATAATTAACTGTGTGCCATCAAAGTTTGTAGATAAGATTCTATATGAACTATGGAATGGGCAAAAGGCCAACTTGTCTTATCTAAAGATTTGAGGTTGCAAAGCTTATGTCAAGAAATTGACTTCGAACAAGTTGAGCCCAAAAGTCTAATAAATGTATATTTGTAGGCTATCTTAAGGAGACCAAAGAATATTATTTTTATGACCTAGAAGAGTGCAAAGTTTTTGTCGCTCGTATTGGTGTCTTCTTAGAGAAGGAATTTCTTCTAAGAGGTACTAATGGGAGAAAAGTATAACTCGATGAAATTCTAGAACCACATGATACATTAGATGAAAGACGGGATGGTGTGCCACAAGAAGTTGTTAAACATCGTGAGGAGGTTACTCCACAATCTGTGGATCAAAGTGAACCACCTCAAGTAACATAGGAGCTACGTAGGTCTAGAAGAGTACGTCATGAACCCAATAGATATGGTCTTCTCGTGACTAAGATAGCAACGTATTGGTTTACAAGGACAATGAACCTAGAACCTACGATGATGCTATATTGGATCCAGATTTTGTTAAATGGTTTGAAGCCATGAAATTCGAGATGGACTCCATGTACCAGAACCAAGTGTGGTCTCTAGTGGATCCACCTAAAGGGGTAAAACCATAGGGTGTAAATTGGTCTTCAAGAAGAAGATTGACATGGATGGCAATGTGTCTACTTATAAGGCACGGCTGGTTGCCAAAGTTTTCAAACAAATTCATGGCATTGACTATAAGAAACCTTTTTACCTGTTGCCTTGATTAAGTCTATTCGGATTATGCTTACAATTGCTGTGTATCACGACTATGAGATTTGGTAGATGGATGTCAAAACAGCTTCCTGAATGGAAATCTTGAAGAAGATGTGTATATGACACAATCCAATGGTTTCGTTCTTGATGGACAAGCTGATAAGATATGCAAGTTGCAAAGGTCCATTTATGGACTCAAGCAAGCTTCAAGGAGTTGGAACATTCATTTTGACGAAGTCGTAAAAGAATTTGGTTTCATCAAGAACGAAGGTGAGCCCTGTGTTTACAAGAAAGTAAATGGGAGCGTAGTGGTATTCTTGGTGTTGTATGTCGATGACATACTTCTAATCGGGAATGATATACTAAACTTGCAGTCGGTAAAAACTTGGTTATCCAAGTGAATCTCCATGAAAGACTCAGAAGAAACATCCTACATCCTCGGAATAAAGATCTATCATGATAGATCGCGTAGGTTGCTTGGCCTAAGTCAGAGTACATATATAGACAAGGTACTTAAGAGATTTAGTATGGAAGAATCCAAGAAGGGATTTCTTCTTATGTCACATGGTGTCTATCTCTCTAAGGATATGTGTCCTAAAACACATGATGAGAGAGATAGAATGAAGAGGATATCATATGCGTTAGCAATCTAATCCATCATGTATGCCATGTTATGTACTTGGGTTGATGTCTCATATGCATTAAGCACTTGTAGTAGATATCAATCGGATCCAGGTGAGCGATACTGAATAGCTGTCAAGAACATCCTTAAGTACCTAAAAAGGACTAAGGATATATTTTTGGTTTATGGAGGAGAAGATGAGCTCATTGTAAGATGATATAGTGATGCTAGTTTCCAAACGGATAAAGATGATTATCGCTCGCAGTCTGGGTTTGTATTTTGTCTCAATAGAGCTACAATGAGCTAGAAGAGCTCCAAGCAAAGCACTGTAGCAAACTTTACAATGGAGGCTGAGTATATCGCATTATCCTATGTGGCCAATGAGGGGTCTAGATTAAGAAGTTCGTCACCGAACTTGGTATGGTTTCCACGATTGTTGATCCAATAGATGTATATTGCAACAATAATGGAGCAATAGCTCAAGTAAAGGAACCATGGTCTCACCAGAAGTCCAGACCCATACTTAGGCGATTTCATCTCATCAAAGAAATGGTTGAGAGGAAAAATGTGTAGATTTGCAAAGTACATACTGATGACAATCTTGCAGATCCACTAACTAAGCCTTTGTCGTAGCAGAAGCATGAAAATCACTTAAGGTCATTCGATATTAAATATTTGAGTGATTGCCTATAGTGCAAGTGGGAGATTGCTAGAGTAGATGCTTAGAGCCAATCCATTTTGTAAATGTTGAATCTTCTAATAAGGGCATTTACATAATCTCATAGTGCAATTAAATTTGCTGAGGTTGCTGCCTCTATTTAATTTCATATAGAAATTAAATTAGTGAGATTTTATATTTAAATATATATCAATGTATATATATTTTATATTTAAATATTTAAATATAATACATATTATTTTATATTAATATTTATTAATATTAATTTTGATAACATGGAATTCAAATTTAATTTTTAAATTTGAATTGAAATGCTTTGTTTGGTATTGGAATATTGCTAATCTTAGTATGGAATAAGTAGATTGCTATTCCATATTAGATTAGGTTTTTAGTGTGCACTATTTAAGTGCAACTAAAAATTAAATGAGTAATACTATGCTTACTCACCATCTTACTAACAATCTTACTATCCTTTGTAAATATAACGCATAGTACGGATATCATGTACAATTTTAACAAAGATAGTAAGGCGGTTAGTATAACTCGTGAGTAAGCATAGTATTTTTCATCTGAAAATATATTGTAAATTCATATCACTGCTTCTTCATCTTCATAATGTACAAATTATCAAAAATATAGAATCCGAACAAACAAGCAAAACGAAAATAAACCCTGAATTAAAAAAAAAAAAGGTGTCGAGGTGGAAAAACAAAATTAAAATAAAACTTTTGAACCATGAAAAGAAAGAAAAAAACAAAATTTCTTCTTCAATTTCAAATGGTTTGGTGACAAAGAAGTTGACAAAATGGGCCAGTTGAGATTGACGTTTATAAATATACAATAATAATATATCTATTTTATTTTTATTTATTTAATAAATTATATATCTTCAGGGGCCAAATTTACACTTGTCATTGTTTTATTTGTTTTAATTGATTCTTATCCTCAAGAAGATCATGGGCCAGAGCTGCTTCTTTTAGGTTTGCTTGATCCACGTCTTTCCAATATTGCCATTGATTTTCCAATATTCTGTCTCCAGCCTCCACTCTCCTACACTATAAATATCCTTACAAACTACATGCTTTGATATTCTTCAGATCACTAGAGCTTCATTTCCTTTCAAGTTGCTATTCTTGTTTTTTATTTGTGTGAATCTTAAGAAAATTATGGGGCGCCGCAGCAACTCATCAAGAATTGAGCGAAATATGAAGGAGAGAAATCGAAGAATGCACATGAAAGATCACCTTCGCCGGCTTGCTTGTGTCATTCCTCCTCAAACCTCCAAGGTTAATTAATTCTCTTTAACAAAATATTATTCTTATTCTACATTCATATTCTTCTATCTAGCGTGAAATAATGCTGTTTGTATATTTTTGTAGTTATCAGTACTTGAAATATTGAATAAAGCCACAAATTATATAAAGCAGTTGCAAGAGAATAAAGAACGTCTTAAAAGAAGGAAAGCGCAGTTGAAAGGAGAGGAAACAACATGTAATACTAGTACTTATAACATGACTGTAATCCCAGAGTTACGTACGATAATGAACATCAAACATTTTGATGATTCGACTTTGGAAGTGAATTTGATTAGTGGGTTGGATAAAAACTTCATGTTATATGAAATAATAAGTGTGCTTCAGGAAGAAGCAGCCGAAGTTATTCATGCTTCACAGATTCGTGCCGATGATAAATTCATCTTCATAATTAGGTCCAAGGTATTGAATTGTGTTTGTTGCATTTATCAACTATTTGCTTTATATAAAACTAGTTGGTTATGCTAAAAACTTTTCAATATTATTGATTGCAGGCCATAAGTACCAGAGTTGGTTTTGAAACTTCAAGGATTGATGAGAAACTGAGGGAACTGGTTCTCTGAATATTTCAGAACATGGTTTTACTTCGGCTAGATCATAGTCATGAAGAAATTAATTAGATTTATATATCAACAAATAAAATAGTACCTAGCATCATTCGTCATGTATTTGTCATATCTTATACAAACTAAGATTATAAAGTTCAATTCTAGTTGCAATTAAAGTTCATTTTATTAATATTGTTTAATTGATAATATTGAGAAAGCAAGTATATGGAGAGACAAAATAAATGGGTTTAATTGTCATGCAAGAACAATCTATATAAATAATGCTCGTCATATGAAAACTTTTAAAATAGGAAATACTTTTTATCTTTTGAAATATAGGATAATAAGAGTTAAAAAAAAGGGCAGATAATCACAAACTTTTTCGCCAATGATAATCCTATATAAAGAATGATCATCATATGAAAACTCTTATTTTGGGTGGCCATACAAGAGAAAATCATGTTTTATAATGGGGTAATTATACTTTTACAATTATTTTATGGGACGCCACATGCTGGCTTGGGGGGGCCTGCATGCGGCTCAGCCTCTACCCCACTTCAAATCCTGGCTCCGCCTAGCAATTTCTCTTGCTAGAGAGAAGATGACACCATATATCTTTTATCTTCTCGGCATTCTTCAAAATAACTTTTTACTGTATGAATCAAGATTTCTTTTTTGTCGACAAATAATTCTTGACTAATATTATTGAAAAAGATTCTCACAGCTCAAACATAAAATTAATGCAAGCAACTAAAAAGAAAGAAAATCAAACACTAGAATTTCAAAGTGGTTCAGTCCAATCAATTTAGCCTATATCTACTATCCACTCAAATAATCCATTAAACAAAAGCTTACAATTGAACAATTTTTAGAAGAGAAAACGTACAAACTCCTTACACTATCCTAAAAATCTCAATTACACCCTTAATAATAGTTCACAATTACTATTCTTTTGGTACCTATTTTATACTTTTTGAGATATTTTAAAAACCTAATCTACTAGTCTATTTAGAGAGGATAGTTCCCTTACAACTCCTGTTCCCAAACCATATGAGATTCAAGTATCCCAACAATTATACCATCTCATGTAATATAAACATTAGAAACATTTGGATGGCCTTCTTGACTTTATAGTTCTTGGACTCTATATATAAAAAAAGGTAAGTCATTAACTTGATCACCAACCCTATCAAATGTATAAATAAATTTAGGGAGATTATCAATAAGGTACAATATTCATGAAATGATAGAAAAATGAACAAATTTCAAATTCATCAAAAAAAAAAAAAAAAAAAAAAAAAAAAAGGGATAATTAGTAGTCAATGCTAAGATATAGTTATATAAGATTGTTTTTTTTTTTAAATCTTTCTTTCAATTTAAAATTTAAAAATGCATTGAAAAATAAATAAAAGAGAAAAAGAAAGATATAGTATTTACTTTTATTAACTGATATTTCTTTGTACTATTTGGTTGGATTAGAGTTATTTTATACAAAAAAATAAGTCATATAGTAATGATCAATAATATAAAGTAATAAAACATAAAATAATGAATATAAATTTAGAAAATCGACATAAAAATAAATAACATGACAATAACTATAACATTTTGTATATAATAGTTTTATATAAACTTTGTATGTTTAACTAATAAAATAATGGTTATAATTCACAAAAAGGGTATAGTTAACAGATACAACGCTAAACAACTTTGAATGAAAATTAAACTTGAATCTTTAATTCAAGAGGCACCACCACGTCTACAGATGAGTGGCTAAAACTAAAAAAGTTTATTTTTTTTGTGTCGTACCTTGTTGAATAAAAAAGTCTAAGCTTCAACTCAAGCAAAGCTCACAAGAACGACAATCCCTATTGTCGTATTTGTCTTCCTACTATGTTCCTAATACGAAGTCATATTAGAGCAGTCAAGAAGGAAATGTTTCAAGAAAGCACCAGCTTACTCACGTGTTCTTCATGATTCTGGAGAGCAACTTGCAGCGCAACTTGCAGCAGAGAAGCTGGTTTTTCTAATGAGATCGAATGATAAAAAAGATGTAGCTACATTACCTCAGCTTTTAACACAGAAGGGAAAATGACAAATTCGGCTTCATTTTCAACACTGAAAAACACACTTCCTACTATCACAGTGAAATTAGGAGAGAAGAATTACGCTTACTGGAAGTCTCAAGTCTTTCTGGTGTTAAAGGCGTACGAATTGGAAGGTTTTGTTACAGGTGAAAAACCTTGTCCTCGTACTTTTATTGTCTGTGAAATTGATGAACCAAAACGCATAGTCAATCCAGAACATGTAATGTGGAAAAAGTTTGATCAATTGTTGTTTAGTTAGTTAATATCCTCCATTTCAGAAACATTGTTCAGACATGTTGCTAATTGTGAAACAGCCTATGATATATGACATACATTAGAAATGCACTTCCTAACAGATTCTAAGGCTAGGATTCTACTCCTAAGAAATCAATTACAGACCACTAGGAAAGACAACTCCAATATAAACGATTATGTGTTGAAAATGACTGAGATTACTGACTCTTTAACCACCACTGGTGTGGTTATGACTGATGAAGAATTGCTACTATACATTCTTGATAGACTTGGATCTGAATATGATGCAATGGTAGCTACATTAACTTCCAAGAGTAGTGAAGTGTCGTTGCAGGAAGCACAATTATTTTTTGCACAAGCACGAAATGAGGCTGGAAAAACAACAATCTACCCACATAGGTTTTCATGAGGTTGCTGCTTTCATAGCAGATAAACAACCTTCCAACTCACAACCGGTCATGTCAATAATGAATACCTCATATCAACAGACAAATAACCTTCACATTCTTATTCTCCAAACCAAAATGAACCTAAAAATCCCTACTAGTTTATTCAAAACTTCCAGCCTTACAATCCAAACTTTGGGAGAGTTAGAGGTAGACGTAAAAACTTCTACAAACCAAGACTTTACTGTTAGTTATGTGGAAAGAGTAGACACATGGCTCTTCAATGCTATCATCGCTTTGACACTTCTTTCCAAGGTAATCAAAATCACAGACCTTAGTTTGGACTGGATTATAACAATTCACAGCAAAATACACAATCCATGGTTCATGCACAAGTCTTCTTTGCAAACACTCAGCTCGACTACTCTAGCTACTGTCCAACTCAGTCCTTCCAGACCTCTTCTCTAATAATACATCATCAACAACCTTTTCAGAACAATGTACTTGTGAATTCCTCATCTTCTCATCCCAATCTGTCACAACAACATTATGGAAATTCAGGGGAAAATTTGTTGAAAAAGCACTCTGGAACAACACAACCTAACCAGATAACAACACCTCTAATAGTTTCATATCCAAATTGGTTCATTGACTCAGGTTCCACTCATCACATAACACATGATCTCCAGAATCTCTCACTCAAGAGTCAATATATTGGATCTGAATCACTACAAGTTGGAAATGAGCAGTGTCTTGACATCTCCCATACAGGTTTGGCTATTTTACCTTCATCTTGTGTAAACTACTCAATTCAGCTTAAAAACATACTTTGTGTCCCACAAGTGACTAAGAATCTACTTAGCATTTCTAAAATTACAAGAGATAACAATTCATCTAGTTGAATTCTCTGATGATGGTTGTGTTATTAAGGACAAGACTTCTCAGGTTGTTCTTCTTAGAGGCTCAATGAACAATGGTCTATACCAACTTGACATCCCAAATGGAAATGGTGTTTGTCAACAAGGAATGTCTCTCTCTTCAGAATATCCTCAGTCACAACTGTCGCAAGCTACAACCACTTTTGTGAATTCTTTTCATTGGCTGCATTCTGGTTTCTCATGCTCAAATAATTCTTTTGGTTATCAACTTTCTAGTAGTGTATCTGTTGTAATAGGAAATAAAAGTCAAACTCCATAATCTGATAGTGAAGGATATCTATGGCATAGGAGATTAGGCCACCCACATTTATCTGTTCTTAAGTCTCTTGTACCTAAGATGAATGTAAAAGACACTATTATCAATAAAATTCGATTTTGTGAAGCCTGTCAATATGGAAAACTTAATAAAAAATCTTTCATTTCCTCCACTTCTCAAGCAAATAAACCTTCTGAACTAGTGTTTATGTTTGGGGACCTACCCCATCACTTTAGCCACCGGATTCAGGTATTATTTGATCCTTGTTGATGATCGTACTAGATACTCCTGGATTTACCCTCTCAAGCTCAAATCAGAGGTAGATTCAATTGTCCAACAATTCACACAGCTGGTAACATAACAATTTGACAATAAAATTGAAGTTTTTCAGTCTAATTGGGGAGGAGAATTCAGACCTCTAGCTCTTTTCTTTGCCCAACAAGGCATCCGTTTTAGACACCCATGTCTTCATACACATCAACAAAATGGTCGAATTGAGTGCAAGCATCGACATGTGATAGAAGTGGGGCTAACTTTACTAGCACAAGCATCCATGCCACTATAGTATTGATGGTTTGCATTTCACACAGCCATGTACCTGATTAATAGGCTACCTTCACTAGTTTTACTCAATCAACCCCCTTTTCAACTCCTCTTCAACGAAACACCAGACTATAAGGTTTTTCGAACCTTTGGCTACCAATGCTTCCCCTTTATTAGACCATATTAGAAATACAAGTTTGCTTATCATTCTGAATAGTGTGTGCTTCTAGGATATAGTTCCAATCACAAGGGATATTTGTCTTAACACTCTCGAGAGAGTCTATACAGTGCAAAGTGTTAAGTGCAATGAGCTGATTTTTCCATTTGCTAAAAACTTCTCTATTGAAAATGTTTTGGGGACTGAAATGCACCTACTATACTGCCTTCATCTCAACCTTGGCAGATTCCTTCAATCCATCACAGGCAAGGTACATCTCTTCCCTCTGAATCTGTTTCCATCCATTAGAACCAGGGCACCTCATCTGTAGCACTTCCACCTACTAGTTCTCTTGCTAATCACCCTGTCACGTCTTCATCTTCGTTGCTGGATCCACCTTCTCTCACATTGGAAGTTGACCTTCAACCTTACAATACTCAAGATTCCTCTCCAACATTACAGTCAACTAACCTGTCTGTCAAGAATATACATCC